TGGAAAAACTGGGAACCCACCTGCAGAAAGATGAATCTGAACCCCTATTTGTCACCATTAACAAAAATCTACTCAAAGTGGATTACAGATCTAAACTTAAGATCACGAAATATAAGCCTACTGGTTGAAAATGCTGAGGAAACCCTGGGAGACATTGGGGTAGGCAAAAACTTCTTAAGCAAGACCCCCAAAGCACAGGCCATAATCTCTAAAATGGACGGGGGAATTACATCAGATTAAGAAGTTTCAGTACAGCAAAACCTGTAGTTGTGAATCCACAACCCTCAACATGGGAGAGAATTTTTGTTAACTGTGCCTCGGAAAAGGGACTGATAACCAGAATACACAGGTAACTCAAACAGCTTACCTGGAAGAAAAGATTAACCCAATTAAAAAATGAGAAAGTGGGAACCAGCAGTTGGCATAAAGGCTATGTCACTGGTCCCCCATGTAGTCGACCGCAGTTCGAGTCATGAACCCATCAGCTTAAACTTTCACCAGGCTCGTGTGCATGTGTGCCCAAAATCCCAAGAGGAGAATGGAGAAGAAAGGATTGCAGCATGGTCCTCCTCCCTCTATCTCTCTCTGTCTTTCTGACAAACACACAGACCCGATAGCAAAAACCTCTAAAAAAAAAAAAATGACAAAATAAGCTAAATAAACAACTCTCTAAGGAAGACATGTGAACAGCCAAAAAGCATATGAAAAAATGCTCAACATTTCTCATTGTAAAGGAGATGCAGATCAAAACTACAATGAACTACCTCATAACCCCAGTCAGAATAACAAAGATTCAAAAAAAAATGATAAGCACTGAAGGAAATATGGATAAAGAGAACATTCCTACACTGTTGGTGTTAATGTAAATTGGTCCAGCCACTATGGAGAACAATGTGGATATTACTTAAGGATCTACAAATAGAACTGTCATATGATCCAGGAATCCCACTCCTTAGTAACTACCCAAAGGACAGAAGAATCCTTAGTAGAAAAGTGTTTGCACATCAATGTTATTGTGGCATTATTCACAATTGCTAAGACATGGAACCAACCCAAATGGCCATGAACAGATGAATGGATTAAAAAAATTGCGGCACATATACTCCATGGAATACTATTGAGCCATTAAAAAACAGGACCCTGGGATTCAATAGAAAGTGGGTGAATATGGAAGATTTGTTGCTCAGTGAAGCAGTCAGGATATGAAAGAGAGACATTGTATGTCTCCACTTAACATATATCAATTGCCCAAACTCTATGGTAGAGACTGAAAGACTGGAGAACATAAAAGCATTAAAAATTGTAAGGGACACTAGAGACAAAATGGAAAGAATGTGAGTGAGGAAGAGCATAGGGATTGAAATTTGGGGAAACAATAGAGAGATAGAGAGGTAAGACACTTGTCAGACACAGATATGGTTTATTATCTGTTGATGAGGATGTGCATAGTATTCTCAACTGGGCTGGACTAAGGTGTACATCATGAATGGTAAAGACTCTTAACAATCTAAATGACATATAGCAATTTAATGTATAAATGTAAATAAATAAATAGAAAAATGGAAGTGAAGGTATTTCAACATGACCATTCCTCATATGGGCATGGTTTCTCTCTCTGTCTCTCTGACAAGCAGACACATATATTGAGAAATAAAGAAAAAAAAAACTATACTATACTGTTATCTGAATTAGGCAATAGCGTTATGAATAAAAAATTATAAATACCATATGTTAGCAGTCATCTGAACCCTGAGTGTTCTCCCTTCTGTTTGATAACAAGTTTCCATAGTAGAACATCTTTCAAAATTAAAAGTGAATCCACTCAAACCCAGCTGCTATTTTATCAACTAAATATTCTAAACGCTATTCTTATTTCAACCAGTAGGTCCAAATGAACCAATTTCTTTGCTTAACCATAAAACCAACTCTTTATCCATTTATATTTCTTTATGAGATTCCAGAAACTAGTCACATCTTCAAGGCTGTATTGAATATTATATTTGTCTTGCCTTTTCCCTCTCATCTGTAGTTATGTCCTCCACTGAAATCTTTTAGTTATCAAAGTCATCCATGAGAACAGAAATCATTCTTCCAAAATTTTTGAAGTTCCTAGTTTGACCTAATTTTGTGAATCAAAACTGTCTTTAATGGTATCAAGACTAATAAATATTCTTTTCAGATTTTCAATTTACTTTTCCATAATCCATCAGAAGAATAGGTACCTATGGTGGCTATAGGTTTATGAAATATATTTCTTAAATGATAAAACCTGAATATCAAGATCACTCCCTGGTCTATGGGCTGAAGAATGGATGTTGGTCAGCAGAAATGACATTAATCTCATTGCTGAACATCATCAGGTCTCTTAAGTGGCCAAGTGCACTGTCAACAAGCTGTCTTATTTTAATAGTTTGTTTTACTGAGAAGTAACACTCAGTAGTGGGCTTAAAAGGCTGTAAACAGATGTGCTGTCATCCAGGCTTTTTATCCCTCTTCTAAAGCATAGGCAGAACAGATTTCGTATAATACTTTTAAGCCTTAGGATTCTGAAACTGATAAATGAGCATATCAGCTCAACTTAAAGTCACCAGCATCATGGCCCTAGTAAGAGTCAATCTATTCTTTGAAACTTTGAAGTCAGGCATTGATTCTCTTCTTTAGGTATGAAAGGCTTAGATGGCATCTTGGTGCCTCATCTTGCACTTCAATGGTATGGCAACTTCATTTCTTGAACCTTATGAGCAAACATCTGCTCCAAACTTTTCCTATAAAGTTTCTTCACCTCTCTCACCTTCCTAGAATCAAGGTGTTGTCCTGGATTTTGTTTTGGTTTAAGGCAATGTTCTGATGCATTTGATCTTCTACTCACACCACTAAAACTTTCTTCCTGTCAGCAATAAGGTTTTTGCTTTTCTATCACTAGTGTGTTCTCAAGAGTAATATGTTCTATTTCTGTTAAGAATTTTCCTTTGCCTTTATAGCTTAGCTAACTGTTTGGTACCTTTTTTGGCTGAATCTTTAGTGTATCTATTAATTTCTTATACTTCATTGTTGTGCTATTTGCATTGCTTTCAGCATTGGAAACCATGATATACATTTAACAAATGGTTGTTGTCTGCCTTTTGGTCACATAAGCCAGGCCATGAAAACCAGCAACATCAATTCTAAAGGTCTGGAGGCAGGCTTAAAGTGTAGAAAATTGTGACCAGTGATGAATGCAGTCCTCCTCACTTGAGATAATGGTCACAATTGGGCCATGTGGCAAAGCAGAGGACAGACCAAAAATGTAATGGCTTGATTTTGGAAAAGAAAGGATCACTGAGAGAATTGATACCTATCCCAGTGTTCCACACATTACTAGCTGTCTGACAACGTATGTACACAGGCACTAGAGATTTAATAGTGACTGACAGGAAGTAAATACTGGAGCATATTTGAAAATGAATTTATATTTCAGATTTTTTTCTAAAGGCTTTGCAAACTCACCAGAGAGAAAGACAGACAGAGAGGGAGAGGAAAAGTGAGTAATCACCACCCCCTGAAGTGGATGATCACATTGCAATTCCTTTTCTTCTAATCTCCCCTTGTGATTTTGGGCATGCATTCCCAGAGTGTTTTTCATGCTCCAGGTATATAGCTAGAATCAGGGTCAACCAGGGGTGATATTCAGGGCCTTAACCATCACACCAGCTGCTGGCCTATGAGGACATTTTTCAATGTACTTGCCAAACCAAACACAGGCCAGCAGCAGAGGTAGAAGACCTTGTTTTAACACAAATTCTCACCAATCACTGACTGACCACAAACCTAGCAAACAAAGATGTAGCCCTTAGGAACCCACAGTTTGTTTATAGATTTATTTAAAATATTTATTTAGTCATGATAGAGCATGCCCGTGAAGAAGAGAGAGAAAGCACTCAGCTAACAAGCTTTAGTCATGCCACAATCTTTCCTCCTCCAGTTCTCCAGTCTATCAGGTTCTTGGAGATTTGTGCATGACCAATAGGTTGTCACTAGGTCAGGGTTTTTAAACCCAGTCAGTCACGTGGGACTGAACTTCCTCTGCAAAGTGATAAGTGGCTACACTTTTGGCCTGCCTAAAGTACATTTATTTTATGCACAAAGGAGAAGGATGCTTACAGTAAGAGGAAAGGCAAACTTTTACAGTATCCACTATATTTATAAACCAAGTTCAGCATGGCTCTGTATTCAATGACAGCTTTATATGTATTTCATTAAAAATATTTATTGTAATAATGTAGCCACAATCATGTATTCAGAATATGAATTCATCAATTTTATACATTTCATTCAAACAAGTTTAAGAAAAACATACTGTTATTTGTAATGTATTTATCAGTTCAGTTTTGCTAATGTATCTGTAAGAAGGACTTTAAACTTCTGCAATTACAGTTTTAAGATGCAGTGAGCTACTGTGCCCAACCATATCCATAAATCAGTGAAAAAGAAGGCAAAAGAGGACTAGCAGGTGGTATAGAGGTTAAGGCATTAGATTCTACATGACCGACTGTGTAGTTCACGTCCTGAACTTGATGGCTTGAAAACCACAGTGGGCATGTGTGTGCGTATGTGCCCAGGATCCTAAGAAGAGAAAAAGAGGAGAAGGGATTGCAGTGTGGCTATCCTCCTGGGTTGGGGGTGGATTTCCCATTTAAAATCTCTCTAGTTCTCTATTTCTGTGTTTTTCTAGTGATTGTGCTCTATAGCAAAAGAAAACAAAAAGACAAAAGAATTGAAATTCTTCCTACTGACTCTTATCTTATTCCTGAGCTAAGTTATAGAATAACAGATTGGTTCATATATTACTCACTTAAATGAAATAACTTCAATTTATGTTTAAGTCAATGTTCCTAAAACTTAGCTGCTTTAATTCCCAGGATTTTTTGTCAACCAATAAGTCAGCCATCTAACTTTTGTTTCCTTTTTATGCAAAGGAAACATGTATTAACCACCACTTTATAATGTAGAGTGTTCTGAAATTATATTGGTTGAAAGGAATAGCATGGATTTGTCATGAATCTCTTCAAAGCAGCCTTCACATCCTTATTCCGCAGACTGTAGATCATGGGGTTCAGCATTGGGATCACTAGTGTATAAAACACAGAAGCCATTTTATCAGTATCTAATGAGTGACTAGTTTGAGGCTGCACATACATAAATAGAAGTGTCCCATAGAACACTGTGACAGCCATCATATGGGAAGCACAAGTGGAAAAGGCTTTTTTCCTCCCTTCTGATGAATGCATCTTTAGAATGGACAAAACAATGTTGAAATAAGATACTATAACTGCAACCAGAGACAAAACCAAGTTAGTAGCAGCAGATACAAAGACTATTGTTTCAGGAATGTATGTATCAGAACAGGACAATGCTAACACAGGTGCAATATCACAATAAAAATGGTTGATTACATTGGAAGAGCAATAAGACATGGAGAATACACAAGGTGAAACGACCACAGCTGTAGAGAAGCCATAAAAGTATGTGACACCTACCAGCAGATGGCACAACCGTGGAGATACCACCATCATGTACGTCAGGGGCTTACAAATGGCCACATAGCGATCGTAGGCCATCACAGAGAGCAGGATGACCTCAGACACAATGAAAAACAAGAACCCTCCTAGTTGGATGGCACATTCATAGTATAAAATAGTATTCTTCTTCACTACAAAAGTGATCAGCATTTTAGGGGCAATGACAGTAGAGTTGCCAAGATTGATAATAGCCAAATGCCGTAAGAAAAAGTACATGGGGGTGTGAAGTCGAGAGTCAAGGCTGGTGAGGGTGATGATGCCCAGATTTCCTGCCACGGTCAGCCCATAGATCCCCAGGAAGACGAGGAAGAGGGGAACCTGCAGTTGTGGAGTAGCTGAGATGCCAGTGAGAATAAACACAGTGGCTGTGGTAGAATTTCTGGAAGCCATGTAGGAGTTTGAAAATTCATCTGTTTGAGGAAGTAAAAGAGCAGTGTTTATTAATTCTTAAGAGCTGTTTTCTGTGGACCAGGAGGTGGCATGGTGGCTAAGGCACAGAAACACTCCCAAATGACCAACTACAGTTTGAGTCCCAGACCTGGTGGCTTGCTTTCTCACTTTTCCTCTCTCTCTCTCTTTCTCTGGTCAAATAAAAAAAAAAAAAGATGAATAAATTAATAAAAGATTCTTTTAAAAAAGAACTATTTTCTACAGTTGCATTAGAGGTCAAGGACAATTCTTTCAGTGAAATTTCTTCAAATCATTCATTATTCTAATACATTTATCGAATAAGAAAAGCAAGTGTGATAAATTAATACAGAATGTTAAACAGATAGTCCATCATCATGCAATATTGGAGGACTTACTCCATTATAACCTAATTTGTTCTTTGTTTGGAAACATTCCCAGTTGCAGCTTGTAGCTTGTCTTTTGGTTTGAGCATGAGAAAGCCTTCAGGAATTGAATGTCCCCAAAGAATCAATAGACTTCTCACAATTTCTTAATCTAAGATATCCATTTCTCAAAAGTAGATGAGTATAGGCACTGTCCTGTCCCATTTTCTTAACTTTTATCTTATCCCAATGTATATTAGATATGTATTGAACTTGATATTCTACCATCCATGTGTATTTCCTGCTTTTTCTTATTTTTCCATTTTATTGATTCAAAAAAATACATGAAGGTAAGTCCTAGATATGTTTTTCAGGTTATTGATCTTCTTTTTTGTTTTCATAAATGGTACTACCAACATTAGTCACCAATTTTCTGTATATCCTTAGTATTATGTTTTTTTGGATAACACTTCCTTTTCTTTTTCTCATACTACTGCTTTCTTCTTGTCCCATAGACTGGTACAGTTCTTTATGTTTTCCAATTTTTTTTTTAAAGAGGTTTTTGCTTAGGGTGTGTGTCCTTGCCAG